GTAGTGGTAACTGGGGTAGGCCGTGGACGTCAAAAGACATTTTACAGACAGGCTCTGGTATCATGGCTACCCAGCAACCGAGCTCAAAAGTATGAAAGAGAAACCTGTGCAATATCTGTAAGGCAGAACTTGCCTTCCACAGCAATTATTTTTAGTTAGCATATAGCTAAAATCTAACCATGGTTACATAATAGCAGCTGCATTCTGGCACGATAAGCTCTATGTTTTATATTCAATTAACATATGATCCGATTAGTCGACTAATCGAATAAATAATCGGTGATTAATCGATTATAAAAATAATCGTTTGTGGCAGCCCTAGCACATAAACACTGTCATGGATAGAGGAATGTTCAGATAGACTGTCACTCTTTCTTTCTGTTACTTGTAAACACACGTCTACACAGGTGTGGAACTGTTGAGCGTTTTCCGCCGAGGCATCGCGACTGAAACCATGGGCACATCTGAGCAAGATACCCTGGAAATCTGTGAACATCTAAGTCTTTTTTTATTTATTTATTTATTTATTTATTTATTTATTTATTTATTTATTTATTTATTTATTTTGCAAAATTATTGACTTCAGTGTGGGACGATGCAAAATAAGTAAGACCAGGCACAATCTATAAAGCACAGGCAAATAGAAACATACTTCTTTGTCTGCTCTGAAAAAGCACATTTACAACGTAGAGAAGGGCAGTCCCAAGAGTGGACTACCTTTGGTCGTGTTTGTATTGCTGTAGATGCTGAGGCTACAGAACAGACAGTTCAGCTTTGTAGTTGAGTGGAGGTAAGCTTTAAAAATAAATAAGACTGTTCAGAGAAGCTAGGATGTAATTTTTTTTACCCGTGCTTTTTCATTGTTATTATTTTTAGGGGTTTTACACATTTCATTATTTGTTGCCAGCCTTTTCCACATCAAATTAACTTTCAGTTGAATAGAATTTCAGCTCAAAAGCTTGACTTGTAATGTTAGCTCTTTGAAGGTCTGCATTGGTAACGCACAAAGACTTTTTCAGTCTGCAGGTCAGATAGATGCCAACAGATACCTCCGTGCCACTCTGTTTTAAGCCTGTAGGCTTTAAATAACCACAACATTGCTGGTGCACTTGGTAAAAAAAAGACCATGTAATTGCCATGCAGCCACTGGCACAGCTTCTTTTCTACAAACTTCTTGGAAAATAGCTCATTCAGAGAAATTTTCACTCCTTTAATTTGAAAGCACTTGGAGCAGTGTCTCTATGAGAATCAAATCGGTTTGTTACAGACGAGAGTCAAGTAGTTTGGAGGATCTTGGATCCCATTTTTACCCCATTTCACCAAAAGAAAGAGCAATCAGCTAAGATTCAGATGGCACCCAACAGATTCAGTCTTCTTTCTTGAAACGTGGCTATTGTGACGCTACCACACATTGGTGCTGTGCTGCATAAAATCTCACATCGTTTAAAGATGCCACAGATGGACAAGAATGTACCTAATTGAGGAAACATGGGCACAGTTAGAAATAACAATTTTTACATCTCTTTGTGTTCTGCATTCAGTCCTGTCATCTTTCATTCATTCACAAAGAGGGCTGCGTGTGACTGATGCAGGCACCTTGACGTACAATTTGTGAAATTATGCAGATGAGGACACTGTGTTTCTTTTGTTTACAGCTACAAGGTTGAAGTGTTCACAAGCACCATTTCTCACTCCTCTCGCACTACAGCTGCCCCCCTCCGCCCTCCTCTTTGGGAGTCCTGCTTCGGCATTGGAGGAACGTCCTCAGCATTATGAGAAGCCATTAATGAGTGCGTGGCGTGGCATGTTGTGATGCGCGGCATATTACAGCCATTCATCAGAGTCGGGAGACACTTGACAGGCGGACAGCCAACAGGTTGTGTAATCATATAACAGAGCCATGTCAGGCCTGCCACGGCTCCGTGTCCCATTCAGGCCTGTAATGTTGTTTTCCTCTGGGTAATTGACAATGCCAGACAGAGAGACCCAGTGATGGATAACATAATGGACCGACTGGCACACAAAGATGGCGGCCAACTGGGGTGATGTCATTTCAGATTACAGGAGCGTTTAGAAATATTTGAAGGGATATTAGAATTTATTATGACTTGCTTCTTCATTTTCTTGGTTCGGGGCACCATTGCTATTAGTTTAATAACCTTGCACTTACCATTAACTGCAAGATTACTGGCAACAAATTTAGATGAAGGTTGTTTATAAATGATCCCTTTTAAATAGTAATAAATATTTAAAATTGAGTGCCATAGGGACAATCAAACAGCTCTTTACATGGTCTTCTTGGTGTCTAATGTTTAGGACTGAAAAACTTTGCGTCGCTCTGGTCTATAAGGTCTTCCATCCATTCCATTCTGGGATTCAGATTTCAACTCCAGTTAGGCTGATCCTGCTTTATGTCCAATGGCACCCAGGGACAGCTTTTTATGCCTGCTAAAGTATTTTCTACCAAAATCAAATGTAAAGCTTTCTTCAGTCTTGTTCAAAATCAAACCTGAATTTGCCTGATTCTGAACAGTTGGTGTCATCGAGTCAAGGCAAGAGTTTCAGAGGCATAAATTTAATCTACTTGTGTACACATTGTTGACTTTTGAAATGAGGATAAGCATATTTGGATCAGTTTTTTTAAATAATTGTTATTTATCACCGTTGTTGGTTTTAGACTCAGGTGTTTGTTGCTGAAGCCTCAAATGTTTCTGTCATAAGGAGATGTCAAAATACAGCTATCAAGCTTTAAAGGGGCAATATTATGTGTTTCTCAGGCATACATTTAAATACTATTCCATAATAAAGTATCTATGTCACCTTTAGTTGCTATTTAAATGCTGTTTTTGTGTTTAAATAGAAAATAAACTTATCTTCTCAACACTTACTCTTCTAAACGCCTTGAAATTGGCCTCTGACTCTTGAAGAACCTCTTACTCCACTAACTACTCTCAAGTCAGCATGTGTTCACAACCTTTCATAGAAACTTTGTAAGAGGGTAGTCTCCTTGGCATCCAAAGATAGATTTCTTACATTAAGGCATTTATTTATTTATTTATTTATTTATTTATTTATTTATTTATTTATTTAGTGACAAAGGCATTTTTTTAATCTGAAAAGGACTGGACTGAGAAGTAATGAGTATCACGAGCTCAACAGACATGCAGTTTCACCAGGTGCTTGCTAATTGTTGCTGCTGCTAGTGGTGGATCTGTGTGGGGAAGATGTGGGGGAGGGGTGCTCTGTGGGGGCGGGAGCTCAGCTGCTGACTGAGTTCTAGGGAGGGGCTTTAGGTAAATAGGCGGTGCTTTGTATGAGTAAGCGTGTCAGCACCTCCAAATGGCTACTAAGGGAGATTCAAGGATTTCTCAAACATGAATGAATGAGTCAAAGCAACACCTGGGGTATGAAGTTGAATTTGCAGAATACCCCACCACCCTCACCCCCACCTCCAAAACTAAAATATAATAAGGTTATTATGATAAGCAATAAAAGTAACACATATCATTTAGACAGGTCAGATTTAATAAGAGTTAAGATTAAATATAGCTTACAAATAAAGTTCTACCAGAGTTCCACATATCACAAATCTACTTTTCTCAGTAACCCAATAATGTCTATCTGCCCAAATCTGGGAATACATTTAGAAAGAAGCGGCTCCTGAATTATATCATCGTGTTTCAGTTGATTTTTCCAGGTATTGATACTGGCTTCTCAGTAGGCTCTGGCTGAATTGTTTCGACAGGATCCTGCGCAGCTTCTTATAAACAGCAGCTGCAGACTACTCAGTTCCCAGTTCTTTCCAGGCCACCAGGCCAGAATGGTCCAATCAAAACCAGCCCCATTACTCCCTCACTTTGCCTTTGCATGCCAAGTTTAATCCAAGTCAGGGAGAAAAAAAAAACGGGGAAAAAAAAAGCGTGCACAATTGTCAAGCTCTACAAAAAGGGGGTTTTACCTGCGTGCCCTCAGTGGTGTTGCTGCTACCTCCTCCCCTGCCCCGCCCCTCATTTATTTCTCACACACGATCTGCTGACCTCTCCTTAAGAGGAGATCTGAGGGGAAAGAAGACAGAAAGGAAAGGCTGTTAAAGTTTCTGTTAATGGAATACCAGGGAGAACCTGGTTCAGACAGAGGACAAATGCATCACAGAAAAATACACGCCCGTGTTGAAAAATGTATGGAGGAAGCCATGGGGGACTCTGCTATACTGTCCCATTTACTCTACCTCCTAACCCTGCAGGAGAGCCAATGAACCAGAGAACAACCGCACCACCAATCACACCGCCATGTGTATATACTGCAGCAAACCTGTGTGAACAGCAACCCCCACCCCCCGCTGCGCAGGAACAATGTCCTTCCTAAAGGTTATCAGCAGCCTGGTGCTTGGTCAGCCCTCATCCTGAGTCCATTACACACACACACAGAGCTGAGAGATTCACCACCTTAATACACCCCTCTTAGTCTCCTCTCGCTGCTTCACTGCCTCCTTTACCAGTCTGATACAAACCCACCTCAGGCCCAGAACACAAACCAGCACACGGGACATTTCTTGTGTTTAGGACAGCTATCCCACAGCTTTTCTTTTAGAATTCTGTCAGTGACTAAAATTCATGCTGCCAACTTCCAAGAACAGCAAAACACAGTCATTTTTATCACTGTTCCATTTATTAATTTAGACAAGATGAAATATTAGGGGTGTAAAATAATACTGACACAATGAAATATTGCAATATTTCATTTCCTGATACTGTATCAATTATCGAAATCACTGTATCGATTTTCAATTAATGTTTATAATGTAAACTTTCATGCCAGCGGTTCATTCTTGTGTTGTAATTTAGCCTCTGCCCTGCTAGTTAACAGCAGCCATTTAGCTCCTCAACTAAAGAGCGTGTAACGCTAGCTCAAACATTAGCATTGTGAATAAACTATTAGCATTAAGTATCGATGGCTGAATTTGAATGGATTAAACCGGCACCTGCTGCCTTCAAAGATGAGGTAGGTTTGCCAACTGTCTCATATTAACCAAAGCATCCCTATTTTAAGCCAAACTAGTGTCCTGTATGTGACACTCTTTCACCTGACTGCAGCCTGCCATCACAACACGGAAGGCAGGTAGGCATTTGTCTAGCACCCCGAGCTGAAGGGGGTCTCCAATGGACGATACTGAAGTGGCCAAATGCAACAACCATTTGAAATACTGAGTGCATTGAAATGACTGGCGTACTAATGCTTAGGGTTGGGCAAAATCTTTTCATGTGCAATTAATCGTCAGAAAAACATTTATCGATTATTTTTTGACTTAATTATTTTTTTTGCTTGGTGCTCCTCTCCACTTCAAATATGATGAACATTAAAAAAAAGTTCTGTAATTTATTTATCTATCAACAAAATTTAGAATTTGATGTATAGCCTGAAGTCTGTAATTTTTACACAGTTTGGAACAGATTTTTACAAAGAGCAAATTTTTCCCACTAAATTTGTCATGTGACTAGGATATAAGGGTTTCCAGGGACTTCAGGACATTAATCGTCAAATTAATCGTTATTGGCTAAATTCCACAATTAATCGTGATTAATTTTTTTGCCAATATTGCCCAACCCTACTAACGCTCTCCCCTTATGGAGCCCAGTGATAGAAACACAGACTGTAGCAGCTTCATTTGATTCGGTTACTGAACTTTAGCACAAGATATGGGCTATTGGTATTGTGGTGGGCAACCATATTTATAAATTAATATTATAAGTCTCAAAGCTTCCACAAATATATTATTAAACTATTTAACACATTGAAAACATGGATGAAATGGGAAATATGAAACATAAAATACATATAAAACATACTGAGTTTTTTTTTAATTCCAAAAATGGCAATATAACCCAATAAATTGGCTTTCTTAAAATATCGTGTTATATCGCAATTGGGGCTGGGCGATATAGCCCAAAAAAAATCTGATTTTTTTTCATCCCAAATTCGATTTTCAATTTTAATCGATTTTGTTTCCCACTTAACGGAGTGCCTACGTTTCAGGTGTTAAAACAAATTTGTTGTAATACTCCTTTTTGTAGCAAGAGCCTTCAAACAGATTTTGCAGTTGGGTGATTGTTCCTCCAAGTTCGAGGTTGCAAAACCTAACCGGTTTCAGAAAACTGAAGAAACAGTGCCTTTTTTGGGAAGTAGATCCTTTTTGCTAGCTGCCATATTGTCGTGTTGGGTACCAAGCGTCTTGAGGGACAGGCGGGGTGACCTCTGAACTACAGAAGCCCCAAAGAGTGGCCTGGTGGAAAAAAATTCCAGATTTTCCCAAAATTAAATCTTTATAATTGGCAAACTCAAATTAATCGATTAAATCGATTTATCGCCCAAACCTAATCGCAGTACATCATATTGTGACCCATATGTTATGATTAGGGCTGTAACTAATGACTATTTTGATAGTCGACTAATCACCAATTATTTTTTCAATTAGTCAATTAATCAACGATTATTACTGTCACAATGTCCATCTATGCTTCCTGTGGATGAACCTCCTGTTCCAGCTCCAGTACACATCTCATCTCACCTGTTAACCTGCTATGACATAGCTTTGCAAGTCCAAAATACTGTACTCTTATGCTGCGTTCACACCGAATGAGATTTCAGCTTCAAAATCGCATCCAACGCTCAAGTTGGTCGCTTGCGCAATTTGAGGTCAGACGCAGATCAGCTCTTGAAGCGCTGCACGGCAACAGCCTCCCTGCCCCTCCCTCCTCTGTCAGGCTCTGTTTAATGTCGGACGAGGAAGTGGCTTTGCTTTATTTACAGAGAGCAAGAGCATGTCACGTTCATCAGATAATTAATTCATAATTAATTCACCAGATAATTCAGAGTAGAGGCTCACAGCTCGCTTTCAGGACTATTTTTCCAGTCTGATGAGTCGCTGCCACGCATTGGTGCGGATAAGGACACGACTGCAGCACTCATTTCAGCTAAAGAGCAGGAGCTCTGTCTGTTTCAGGTTAGTGGACATCATTCAGTAAACTGTCCCATCGGGAGATATGTCGCTACGTCACACACTGGGTTCTCTCTGATTGGTTGACGCAGCGCGTCGAGCTGCAAAAGTTCAGATTTTCTAACTTCAGCGATTTGCGCCTCAGCGCATCGAACGCTCAGATCGTTCAAATCGTTCAAATCACGCTGCTCTAATCGCGCTTGAGGCGCCGCAGCACTTCCCGACGCTGCTTGAAGCGCGTCCACCATAGACTTTGCATGTAAACCTGAGGCTCCTGATGCTGAAATCGTGTTTGGTGTGAACGCAGCATAAGGAATAACTCTGGTTGAAGTGACATTCAGGTGCATAAAAATAAACAATTATCATCCTATTTAAAATCTTGTTGGATTTGGCAGTCCAAAAGTTCAAATAAGACTTCTACACCATCAAAAACAGGAAAATACAAGACAGGATGGACTATTACTATAATGCAGTGATTTACTATGAAGCACTTTATGCTTTAACAAACGTTAGAATAACTGATAGCGCCTGCACTTTTTTCTGAAAGGTAAATTAGCTGGCTACAGCACAAAGTGATCAGTCACTGAAAATAAGATCTACTGTATATGGCATCAACCTGATGAACAAACTAACTTTCTGAAGCTTACCTATCTGGAGAGGATAATCACAGATTTTTTTTTATTATAAAGTTTATTATTATAAAGTTTATAAGAACCAACAGCAACAAGACTCTCAGGAGAATGCAACATTTGCATACCTCTCAGATTGTTTCTCTACTAGGATCTCACACTGTAGTAAACAAGCTCTCTTCCAGAACTGAAGAATTTTCCAAATATTACAGTATAAAAATGTACATAAATAATTTGTGGAGTGGACGGAAAAAAAAAACTTGCCACGTGGAGTAGTTTTCAAAGTTGCAGAAATCTGCTTCAGGTCAGGATAGAAATGTTTAAAAATGTGCTGACAAATGCCAAACACTGTTACTGAAATCATTTTCTTCTTGGGGCTATATGTACCTGATCTACTGATATTCAGAAGGCAATACAGGCAGAGCTTCAAAAAGTGGGGGAGTATTAAGAAAATGGGGCTCCTTTCATTTGACACAACACCTGCTTGCTCATTTAATCCATGAGAAGAATGGACACACTGAAGAACATAATGAGGGAAGAGGGGGTTGACTTTGGACAGAGGCCAAAAAGAAGAGGACAAGGGGGGAGGAGGAGAAAACCATAAATACGCAGAGAGGCGAGCAGGTGTTGCACACAAATGTGATTTACAAGATCTATGTCCCATACAGTGCTGACAGGTAAGCCTATTAGGCTGATATTACCCTGCTATAACACACACCGATGAACCCTTTTAAAAGCATTTGTGTACTCAGTGTGTGATGGCGATCTGCTTAAAAGAGCCCAAATCATATTGGAAAGACAGCCACACATTATAGCCTCTTCACTGTGATGGTTTTCATTTGTTTTAACTAGTTCCCACCGGATGTTTCAACGTGATGTCACTTAGTATCAATGAAAGAAATCCAGCTTTATTACAGTTGGGGATGGATTGAATTCCAGGTTAAAAGCAGAGCTGGGTGATTGTGTTTTTTTTCTCTGTGAAATGACATGAAGCCTCATATTTAAAAAAAGAAGAAGACTAAAACCTCCGACAGCAGTGCAAGCTTTGAGCATCCAAGACTGCCGAGGAGCAATCACACTGGAATGCAAACATTTATGAGAAACTAAATGCACTAGAACATCAAGATCTGCAATCGAATTTCACTTGTAATACCGCATGAGAGACATCAGACTAGAGGAAAATTGCTACCACTTGAGCAGCGCACTACAGATGGTGTTGAGAGCAACACGGCACAAAGCAATGTGTTCCTTAATAATGTGGTGAATATTGCTGTGAAAGGCTGAGAGCTTCGTAGTAACTTCTGCACACTCCAGCCCCCCACCCCACCCCACCCCACCCCTGTCAGGAGAGCAAACTCTTTCATCCTGGATATATGAGGCTGCAGTAAAACATCCTCAAAGAGACTAATCGTGTTAAACAAGGTTTGTGTCTGTACCCATGACTTCTAAGCCTGTGTGCAGGATGTCAGAGGCTGTAG